GGTATTTGAATTCTTGCCAGCATTTGGGGAAACTAAATGAGATGCCTAGAGGAGGGTTGGCCCGTCCTTTGCTTAAAGTTTTCTTTCCTTTTTTTCTTTTTTGTTTTTTTCTGTCCTTTAGCCCATGAAGAGCATCATGCTTTTGAAGGTGGACGTGGAAAACACTAATTGCACTCTGTAAAGAATTCTTTGTCCTTTGCTGATTGGTTTTGGAAACGGTCTTAACAGGAGGGAGAGTGAAGAGAAGACTTGCCGAAGCCCGATGCTGGTCCATTTAGAGTGGGTTTCTGTCCTGGCAGACTGGGCAATTAGGACTCAAAATGGCAGGTGGGGTGGGGGGAGAGTGTGCGTTTCTACCATCATATCACTTGCTTTTTAAAAGAAAACTAATTTTTTTTAGCTTTCTAAATTCTTTGCTCCTGTTCTTTTTCGCCCCCGTAAGATTCCCTGTTCAGGCTAATTATTGTTTTCTGCACTCCCTTTCATTGAGGCACAACTGGGTTTCCCCTTCAGTAGCCCTGCTGTACCTTGTTAAGGAGAATCTGCATACACCACATCACTGCCTGGGAAGCCACACTGTGCCAGGAGTAATCCTAGCCTACAAAACCCTTTTCTGACCAATGGTTGTGACATTTGCTATGTACTATGAGCTGGGCATTATTTCTTTTGTGTGTGTCCCAGAGAAAAAGAAAAACCCTACTCACTCGTGGCACACACATTACAACTTTTTTTTAAAAAGCAGAATAAGGAAAATAATAGTTTGTTTATTTAATGTGAACACTTTAACCACAGTCGAGAATCGGGCTAAAAATCAAACTTTAGGTCTTTGGGCCAACTGTGCAAATATTTCTAGCCAGAACCTCAATCTGGTCTTTTCATTGAAAGGCTCCAGATTTGTCCTGGGAGGAAACCTGGTATTTCTGACTTAAAGAAGAGGCAATACTTGTTAATTGTATAGAATGAAGCTTCTTCCAAAGTTGGAGTGTGTTTACCCATTTAGGACTTTACAAATCAATTCTAACACCTTTTGTTAGAAGATCCTACTTTGCTGCTCATATCATATAGGTGTAGTTTCTAGAAATCAATGGCCCTCCATGGGCATCCTTCTCCCTCATTTGCACACTGTTGCAGAAAGCCAAGTCTCATTATCAAGATACACTGAACTCTTCTATTTGAACTTTGAGTGCATCCTGTTCTTATTAACTATGGGAATTATTGTTAGATATTATGCTACCAAAGACATCCTGGTTTCCATAGAAGAAAACTCTTGATGGAGGGGAGCCCTCTAAATGCTCCACTTTCCCTCCCTTGACTTTGCCCAGCCTTCTGGTACTTATATTTGAGAAAGTGCAGGCCATGTGACAATTCTTTCTCCTGTTGACTGGGGTTTAGATCCCTGGGAACTAGTACAGCTTACACACTTCTCAAGGGCAGTGCACTGGGGGTTCCGTCACACCCAGGATTTTTCATTCCTCTTGCAGTGTTGGCCAGCAGAAATGGGGCTGCTGTAAGCCTCCCACATGTGTTTATAAATAAATTCCTCATTCAGATATTTTAGGTAGACTCTCAGTAACAGCTATGTATAAGAGTCATGACCTCCACTTGGATTGCTGAGCACATCAGCCATAATAATGATCAGTCATAGCTTCAGTGATACTTTTTCCTGAACTTCAGTCTCTTCAGCAGTTTCACAAATCAAGATGTAGAATCCTTCTAGCAAAATCCCAGGACATGTTTGTCTAAATGACGTGCATTTCTCTAAATAGTCTCTAAACTTGCTTCAAAAATATTCCTCAAGGAGTTAACAATAATTCTGGACATGAATTGAAAATCCCTTTTATGATATATTTTTTCTGAAAGATTTTTTAAAAAGGATATAGTTTGACTTCATTATAATTGTCATATATATTTCCATAAGTAAATGAATTTTGAGGAATCTTTATTTTTGAACTTTATTTAAAGCATTTGTGATGACATGTTCCAAGTTTTGCATGTATGTAGCCTTTGAAGGAGAAATAAAATAAAATAAATAGGAATGTTAGGCTCATGTTAATGTTTTTGAGTTTCTATTGTTTATGATCACAAAACATGAGAAACACACAAGTAGATTTTTTGTTCTAGTGAACTCCTTCACCTGTTCTGACTCTGGAAAACACCAGCCATGAGAAGGATTTAACTTGCTTCATGTTTAGAACGTATCCTCTAAATTGCTTTGAGTGGATTCTGTCAGATTTCGCGTTGGAAATTGTTATAATTGAATATTTAGTCATAACTGACTGTGTGAACTAAGCTGATTTAATCAGTTTAAAAACCTTTCATTACCTCCTTAGATTAAAGAAGTTGATACTCTGTTAAGATAGAAGGAACTATTTGGGGGCACATGACTGTGTCAAAGCAGTTCACTCATCTTGGCCAGTGCTGCGGGAAGTGTCAGCCTCAGTAGAGTCTTGCTCCTTCAGCCAAGTCCGGCAGGTGCAGCCTTGTTTTCTCTGATAAGTGCCACACAGAAACCATGGGGCTTTCTTTCTTAAACTTCTTTAGTCTTTTAGGTAGAGCTAGGGAATCTGACTGAAACCAATATGTATTTTTTTCCCCATCCCATTCTCTCAATCATCATGTCACAGGCTGTTGCTCTACACTGGGAACGTTGCACCCACTAAATGAGAACAAATAATACCCATGAAATCATGCCTTGAAGCTTTTCCAGTGAGTTTTGTAAGCACTTCCTGAATGCTGGCTTACTCAATTTTAAGATTTCCTCTTTCACCCAACTATCTCCTAGCTCTGAAATACCATTAGAGTACTCAGCAAATGTGCAATGCTGCTGTTTAATTTATGGTTCCCTTGATGGAGAACAAACACGAAAAGAAAAACATGACTCTAGGAAAACCTAAGGTTAAGTTCACTAGACCCTCCTCAGCCCTTTCCTTGGATTATAGCTCAAGTCTACACTGTACATACAGTCACAAGACTTTGCCATTGGAAGGAACTGTAGATATATTATGTCCAGTAACACAATATACAGTGTATCAGCTGAGCCTTTATTGAACTTGTCCCTCATTGAAGACAGGTCTGGCCAGCAGGAGAGCTAGGTGTTGAAATCTGTTTGCTGCATCCCACATAGGCTGCCACTGTAGGGAAGACCTCTGTGTCTGTCACCCTAATTCCCCAATGAATTACTCTGGTAGCACTGAGCCTCTGGCCTACGCTGCTACAGATTACCACATACCCAGACATCATCTTTGTCAACAGCTGCCCATTTCCCACTCTTCTGACTGAAGGCATTGGGTTTGGGTCTAGAGATCACTGTAGTGTGCCAGGAGGTGGGTCTCTGCTGTCAGATGCTCCACTCCCAAAGGAGGCTTTGCTGCTCACACAAGAATGACAACATTTGCAGTGATCACATGGTGGCGCTGCCTTCCAGCCGACAGTTCTCGACCAGCAGCAGAACGTGTCCTGCTACATTTGTGGGACTATTTTAAGATCTCGCTGCATTCTGCTCATAGGGTTTTGCAAAACTTTGATTAGAAAGTATAAAAGCCATATTTAGTGATAGACATTTTATTCTCACCCATTTAATAAAAAATGGGCCAAAGACAGAACTCTCCAGACATGCTTTTTAAAATCTCAAATCCTAGGCGCTTGGCCATTTAAGTGGTTGTAAAGAGAAAGAGTTAACTGATGAAAGACTACAGGAAATATTGTATCAATATTTGATTAGCATGACTAAAGATGATAAAATACTAGGATTTTTTTCTTTTTAGCTGATTGTAGAACTGCTTAAAAATGTAAGTCAGCCCATCACCTTCCTTGTATTATATGAGAGTAGAGGACTGCCTGGATAGTATTTATTTCTTAGCATTGAGATCAGTTGTCTCTTACAGTAGTTAACAATTTGGTGGCTCAGACTGTGACGAGCCTAGATGAGTGGCTCAACAGTAAGTGCCACAGGTGAAGAGAAAAAAAGGAGCCAGTACAGAGAAAAACCCCTTGGAACCTGAGCTGCTGGGGAGTTAGATGGTTTCCCTTTCACCCCTCACAAGAAAAACCCAAAATAGATTGCTTACCCTACTGACGGGGCTGTCAGGGTTTGGTTTTTATTTACCTTTTTACATATGAATGAAAAAAAATAGATTGCTTACCCTACTGGCGGGGCTGTCAGGGTTTGGTTTTTATTTACCTTTTTACATATGAATGAAAATCAAGCCAATTTCTTACTTAGTTAACCTGCTGAGGCCTGAAGTCACCAACCTTCATAGTGCTGCAGCTACAAGACATTTGAAAGAACACTCAGAGACATAGAATTTGAGAGTGGAAGGGACCTTCGAGACCATCTGTAGTGCTTCTCACTGCTTAGCATGCAGAAGGACCACCGGGGTGCCCGCTTATTAGGCAGATTTCCCCAGCTGCACCCTAGAGCTCTGGGCATCTGCGTTTTGAGCTAAGCACCCTGTGACTCCGATGCTAGTGGTCTTCTGACCTCACTTTGAGAACCTCTGATCATATCCAACCTCTGCATATGACCGGTGAGGAATGCCCCCCACCTCTAAGCACTCCCAGATACCTTGACTGGAGGGTGTAACACAATCTTATGAAAGCTAGGGGAAAGTACTATTAATATAACTTGAATGGAAACTACTCGTAAATAAGAACTTTATGACTAGGACCACTGCAATCATAAGTAGCCCATCTCTGGAAGTCCATAATATAAACCTTTAATACAGAGCCATGGCTCTTCTCTTTATAAATACCATTTCATCCTGTTAAGAGAAGAGAAATTAATGTTCAGAAAAAAGTAGTTACCCCATATGTGCAGTAACTACTTTTCTATAATGTCTTATGGCATCTGGGGTTCAGCATCATTGAACAAGATTAAATGAATGTTATAGAGCTATAAAAGTGCATGTAAAATAACACAAAACTGTTCGGATGACTATCAAAGTAGCCTGGGAATGAGTTTCCACTAAAATTAATTGTCACTTTCTAAACGTAGCTTAGCCAAGCTGTTACTAAACTGGAGGGAGTCTTTAATACATAGAAGTGTCCAAAAGAAAAAAAAAAAAAAAAAGGCGTTTCCACAAACCCTGTGACCGGGAAGCAGAAGCCCTCCTGAAGTCAGTGCTTTCTTGTTCACCATTGCTGAAATTTAGAGTCTCATCATATTTGTTGTGTGTCAAATGTGCTTATTAGAATATCCAATAAACTGGCCTTTGGATATTCTATGCTCTGTGTCCTTCAGAAATCATGGGGCTGTAGGAATGTGTGTTAAATGTTTTGGTGGCTGCCTGAGGAAAAAATTGACCATTTAATGATACACAACATTTCCAATTTCTGATATTCAAGTCAGATGGTTTTGCTTGAATTTTTTTATTTTGAAAGAAGTGTTTGGGATTTTTTTTTTTAACTGGCAACTTTACATTACATAAATGAGCATGAACTCAATATGTTTCTGAGTTTCCTGTAGGAAATTAATAGTCAATTGTCTTTTTACCCGCAGAGAAGCAATTTTTACTAAAAGTATGAAGCAGTTAAAATTTTTATCATTTCATATAATGAATGAGGACTGTTAAAGATTTTAGACATTTTAATACACAAACTTTCTGTTTTCAAATAGCACTATTTTGTGAACATATATGAAATTCTCTTCAGATTTCTCAGACCTCAATCAAGTCATGGGATTTTAAACCATTGTATGTGTTTTTACACAGTGCTGATGCTGCCTTAGTATTTATTTATCCCAAGTCACCAAGCCTTGAGTGAATCCTCGGAGAACACTTACTTTCTTTGAATTATTATACAAAAGAATTTAGAATTTAAACTTCATACTTCAGCCTGAGACAGCTAGTGCTATTTATCACAAGTGTAAAATCTTATCGGTTGGCTTGAAAGCCCCTCGTTCTTTTGAGCAGTCTCACCTGCATAAATTGAACCAGGTTTACTTGCCTTGTGTTTTGGATCTACTTGTGCTCTCCTCCCAAACCCCCACCAGCCCATTTTATACCATCTGTGCCCTGTGCCGTCTGACTCCTTCACATCTGGCTACAAGCTGGTGTAATGCCCTTCCTTTTGATCTGGTTTCATCTAGTGATTTGCTCAGTATTTTTAAGGTCAGACTGAAAACTTTTCTGTTCTAGTTATTTTGGATTTTATACTGTGTGTTGTGTTTGATGTTCAGATACACGGGAAAGTTGCTTCTATAAGTCAGTGGTTTTTATTCCAGCCTTTTGCAGCAATAAGGTAAGGTAAGTTTGTTCTTTTCTTTCTTGAACATGTAGTGATTTGTATGTTTGGTGCAAATGTTTATTCATACCAAAGTCCTTGCTGTTTTTGAATTGGAGACTTTATTGCTCTGAATTTGTATTTCTTCTTTTTTCAAGATAAAAATTTTAGAGTGTGCCGAAGAGTTATTGGTATGTAAGACTTGATTTTGAGATCTTTGTTTGCCTGTTGCCACAAATTCTCACTCTGGATTTGGCTCCTTGTCTTGTAGAAATGTCCCTTTAATCTTCTAGGTTTCAATCTCATGCAGTTGTATTATCCATATTTCATAATCTTAATCTGAATTAGGTTCCAAGTTTATGTGTGATGTTTATCATAACCTTGCTTATTCTAGCACAGAACATACTGGAACGTTCTGCCAAATGGCTCAAATGCACGTGGGGCCCCTGCACTGCCTGGAACGGAGTAGGTTCTCTGTGACTTTATTTTATAGAGTGCAGTTGGGCGTAGGACTCATCAGGCATTATAGAGAGATGTCTTCATATTCAGTCCTTTTCTTTGCCTGTTGTTCAGAATAGCCTCATTTTACATTAAGTCAATTACTCTTGTTTCTGTTTTGATGCTACAGTTTGTGTGATTCAGTTGTCCCTCAGTTAACTGAGCAAAGTAAACTTGTTCTTCCTTTCTGGTTGTATAATATACCCCTTTTAGAACAAACAAAAACACCTGAGCTCTTATGTCTTCCATACACCTGCACGGTTTCCTGTCTCTCACTGTAAAAGTAAGCAGTTCAAGATTGTGTGGGATGCCCACTTAGTTTTAACACAG